CAACTCTGCAGGTGCCCCAGTTTAGTTTGCCTTTTTCCTACACGTGGAACCTGAAGAGCAGAGGACTGGCCAGTGCTCCTTTAGCATCCCTGGGTTGCCAGGCCAGACAGCATCCTCAAGGCTACTAAAACGGCTTCTGCTCTGCTATTTCTGACACCCTCTTCCACTTCCCAGATGTGAACCTATGGGCTGGGATATTTGCTGAAAAAGAGGTTAAATAACTGCAGGCGTTTTCAGATGCCACTTTTTCTCCTTGTCCCTCACTTCTCCCAGGTGGATATTCTAGGTTTACTCACCCCTACACAGTGTTGTTGCATGGCAGAGGGACACCTGCTCCTGCCCAAGTACTCCACCTTGCAATCATGTGTTTCAACTCCTGACTGGAAGGTCACTTCACAGAAATGCTTCATCCCCACCTAAATATAGGGGTAGGGGAGCAGAAAACGCCCAGGGAGGCTCAGTTCCAACCTTCAACACTCCAGTTAAACTCAGAACTGCTTCAAGAGTGCTGCCAGACTGGAAAAGGGTTTTCCACTCTTTCCCACTCAAAGCACCAGTTGCCCAGGATCATAGCTGAAGAGTCACAGATTCTTTTGCTCAACTCTGATTTCAGTACAAAGAGCAAAAATCTAAAAACCTACAGGCCTCCTCAGCACCCCAATTCCAGAGTTCTATCAAGCCTCAAGCACAAAAGGTCTGCTTCCAAGGGGAAATGAAGTGGGAGTGCTGTAATACCCACAGAACAGTGCCATTGAAAGGAAATGCTTCCCAGCCATGTCTGGCTATACTGAGTCCATCCTCTCTGGCCAAGCCCATTTCTTTGATGAAGACACACCTACACAATCCCATATAGATAATCACTGACACCCTTACCTCTGTGAGCTCACAAGTCAGATAAGTGATAAGTGGCCACAGACATGGAAGCTTTATCTCAGTCACACTCACTAACCAACAAATGGAGAGCACAACCACAGATGCTCAGCTACTCCACTCAGCCCATAACCCCTTCTACACAAAGGATTCATAAATAACCTTTTGAATGCTATAAACCTGTGACAAATCATGAATCTGTAAGAAATAGTTGTGCAATAAGCACAGAAGATTTTTTCCATTGATGGCCCATCAGTATTTCTGCTCCAGCAACAGTACAGGCTGTTTTGCACATTTGCTTTGGCTGGACAGCTCATCCGAACCAAAACTGCCACAGGATGTGTGTAATTTGAAAGGGGCTTTATTTTCCTCACCAAATGCTGCAAATAATTCCCAGAAATCCCAGTAACTGGCTATAAATGTGACAAATGCAGCCCTACAGAATAACACAGAGACTTCGCACTTAGCCTGTCGCAAAGAAGGGACCTGCTCTGGACTGCCCATCAGGACTGGCCACCTCAACAAAGACCATCTTCTGGGCACCCACATGCCATCACAGTGCTGTTCCCAGCTGGCTGGAGTCCTGGCAGCAAGGTGCACTTATCCTCAGTCCTCCAGTTCCTCGTGGATGAGATGGGACCATGTCAGAACTTGAAACATGAAAGGTGGATGATGAAGACACTGATGCAGCAATGAAGGAGGTGAAATCGGCGGGATGAAGATCAGATGGCATGTAAAGGTCTCTGAACTTGAGTAAGAATACAGGGCCTGTGGGATAGGTCTGACCACATATATCCCTCTTTATTCTATACAGGACATGTGAGGTTGGACCTTTCCCACAGGTCTGATATTCCTCAGAAGGAAACCCCAAAGTGCCATCTAACCTCAGGGAGATGGCAGGAACCAGTGCAAAGACATCACTGGGAGAAGACCCTCATACTGCTGTAGCCATTGTCTTTCCATCAAAGTGTTAAATGCCTTCACCAGCATCAGAAATCTGGCTCGAAACAGGACTTGAAGCCAGCCAGTGGAGATAGCTGATGACAGACCATCACTTTTGGTGAGGAAGAAGTTCAAAACCATCATTTTTAGCTTGTGGATGAGTCACCCTGTTGTAATTCTTTACAGAGCCCTCTCCAGACCCCCATATCCCTCTGGGCTAGAGCATTACAGGACCAGTGGACTTAGAAATCCTCCCTCTGCTTTTAGGCTTGCTATTGGAAATGAGTGAACATCCATGGTGTGCTCTGCTGCATCTGTGGGAACCTGTCCCCAGTAACTGCACTGCACAAATCAGTAGGTCTGAACTTCACTTGGTCCAGGGACTTGATACTGGAACAGATGAGTGTGCCTTTGTGCTACCTGCTGAGTCAGCCTCCCCAGCAATACCACTGCTCCAGAAAGCAGTGACAGCACAGCCTGTCTGCTCCCCCTGCTCAGCCTAAGCCCCCTGAATCTGTCCCTACAGCATCTGCCCCAGTTCAGGCTCAGACACTTGCATTTGGCAGCTACACAGATACAAAATGTTCTGATGTTGATGTGCAAACAAATCCTCAGTGCTTGCAGCTCTTTGCTCCTGTACAAACCTGTTCCTTTGCAGCATGCGAGGGCTCCTCCTGTACAACATCTCCCAGACCACTGCAACTGGCATTTTGCAAACATTCACTGCCTGTGATAAACTGCAACTTCTAGGAATCCGAAAGCCTTGGCACTGCAGCAATGTAGCCAAGGAAATAACCCCCAAGAGCCATTCCTGTGATGTTCCAGCTACTGTGCACTGCTCTTCACAGCTATCTGCTCTGCCCTCTGAGAAGCAGCTGAGCTCTTTGCAATTGTCCCATTTGATTGCCACACTAAAGGACCTCATCTCTGCTTACCCGTTAATGTCCTTTGCAATGCTCCAGCCAGTATATCCAAGGTCCCCAGATCTTTATAGATGCTGCCCTCCTGGCCCCAAAGACAACTGCTCCAGGTCTGCCTTCTGGTCAGCCACATTTTCACATGAACTAGAGATAGTACCAGAAACCCTGTGTGTTTCACCTACCTGGTTACAGGTGTTAATATCTACCCCATTCCTGAGGTGATCCAAGGCTTTGTCCAGATTCCCAGATCTTGCAGCTCTCAAGAAACTGGTTGCAGCATCAGCCTTGGGGACAAAAAGAAAAAGCATGAAACTCAGAGCCCCCTTGTTCTCCCCCACCACCAGCACTAGGTCAATTCTTCGCTCAGCTGCAGAGAACATAACAGACCAAGCAGAAAAGGCAGAGGCCAGGCAAGTCACAGTGGGAACTGCTGGGACAGACTGAGGTGCCTCAAATCAGACAGGAAGAAGGGCCGGGACCTGGACTTAAAGTGAAGAGCATCCAGATAATGGGGCAGAAGGTCTTGCAGCTCATCCCACCACACTATGGGGACAGTAGGGAGGGAGCTCCTGCCACAACAGCCTCCCTCTTGGCCCAGGAAACCTCTCTGTGCCTGGGCTGAAGAGCTACACTGATGGAGCTGTAGTGAGGCCACCCCTACCCTCCTCCAGAAGCCACTGGATAGCAACACTGGTGAGCTCGGGTACCAGCACCAGGGACAACGGCCCCAGCTCAGCACCTCACAGCTGTGAAAGTCACAACTCTCTTTTTTGACAGCACCTCCCTGCTATACCACAGCCAGCCCAGGCAAGGCACAGCAATCCTTTTAGCAACACTACTCAGCAGAGTGAGGCAGCAAATGGAGACAATGACATGGCACACTAGAAGCTGGAGAACAGGGTGGAAATGCAGTGATGTGGGTTTGTGAGTCTGGGAACTTGGACTGGTGGTAACTGGAGCTGGTATGTGCCTGCTCAGGCCAGCCCAAAGGGCTCTCCACAGCCAAGAGCCACAAGACATCTACGGCATGGGTACAGGACACACTCCTCTGTCCTCAGCTCCAAGAGAAAATTAGAACCCCTCTTGTAGCACTCACATCAGGACTGACCAAGGGACCTCCTGTGCTACGAGAGGTGTCACCCCAAGCCATCCTGTATTGCCCACAGCCTGGTTGCAGAGAAGCATCCAGGATTAGGAAGCTCCTGGGCAGGACCTGGAATCAACACAGCCAGAGACAAAAGCACTGGGATGGATGATGGACCACACAGGTTCAGGGCTCCTCTCTTCTCTTCTCTTTGCAGTCTCAGACATTTGAATTGGGACTTTGAAGCAGGACAACTCAGATGCTTTCTGGTCTTCTCCATCTGCCTCCCCCAGTTCAACTTTTCTGCCTGACACTCCTACCACAGAGAAAGGCAGCCATGCCCTGGGCCCATTAGGACCCTGTTCCCTGCTGTAGAGGTAAGGCTCACAAACAGGGTGACCTGGCCCTGCTGGACCAGGAACAGAGCTCAGGCCAGGCTACCTCTACAATGGCAGAGTGCCATGGCCCCTCTAGGGATGCCCAGGGGTCAGAAGGACAGGTGGTGGAGGGCAGCACCACCATGCCACATCACAGTGCTCAGCCTCCGTGTGTGGGGGGAACACGTGCTGATCGCATGACCTCCCGTGCCAGCTGGCTCTGCTTGCTTCCACCTCAGAGGAGAGCCCCGTCTATCAAGGAAGAGCCCCCAGATTCACAGCAGAGCTGTGGCTTTGGAAGGCTGTGAACACAGAGGAGACACAGCACTTCGGTGCTCTGCTCACACAGAAGGATCAACTGCAAGAGCCAGAAGGAAACACCAGTGTTGTGCTTAGAAGTGCACATTCACGCTCTGAGCTCTGCGTGCCGTCTGGGGTCCAGTGAGGGAACAGTGACAGCTTCAAGCAACAGGCTGAATGCAAAGAGCTTTTCCAACTCCAGACACTGCTAGAAGCCTCTCCTTCTGAGGTCAGGACCAACAAGGCAGTAAACCCTTGGAAATTCAAAGCACAGCTCAGCCAAGCTCTGTCATCCACATGACAACACACATGGAGCTCTGAAGATTAAATGATAAAACTCTACATGGCCCTGCAGTAAAGGGGCTCCCAAAGCCCCAGCACACCCAGCAGCAGAGACTACAAGCAGAAAGCAAGCAGAAAAGCAAAGCAGAGGTCTCTGTGGGTGTGAAGAAGAAGTGTATTGAATACTCACAGCCACGTCTGGACCGGACCTGCCCTTTCGTGCTGCCATAGTCCGGCACTTCGGCTGAAACCTGAGCCTGGTGTCCCCTCTCTCCCTCCTTGGTTATCTACTCCACAGCTTTGAGAGAGCCAGTAAGTTACATTGCATTCTATCTAAAAATACAGGCTCCGTCCTCTCTCCAATGCAAACCCTGCAGGGATCGCCAACTGCTAATGGAATTTGTTCATTTTCTCTCCATTATTGTGTCAGACAGGATATTTAATACCAAGCCATCTCCGGAAAGCAAATGACTGCTGCCAAGCGCAGGGAGGGGGTCAGAGCTGCAGGTACCACCTCATGAACAGCAGAGGAAAAGCAGCCCTACAGATATGCCCAGGAGCCTGGCAACTCACAGGTAACTCCTGCCACAGAGGAGAGGGTTGGGGGTTCCCTCCTGACTTTCTGGATGCTGGGGCCCAGGCCTTGGAAAACATGTCAAGGCTGGAATGTGTCAGAGGTGCTGTCCTTTTGCTCCCCATGCTCAGCATGTACCTTCCAGAGATGCACAGAGAGATACAGGGCATCAGCAATCTGACCACACATTCCACCAGAGAAGATGGAGTAGCTCCCCTCAAACGGTAAAAGCAGATCCACAGTCACACTGTCCTTCTGATGTCAGGCTGCACAATGGGAATGCTTGCCTATTGCTCAGGGCAACTCGCTTCCCAGGAAATGGAAGCACGGGCTGGGTCACTGCCGTGTCCTGAATTTCAGCAAAAGGGAGCACTGACAGCAAGAAATGCAGAGATCCCATGAACACAAGTAGATGTGCACATGGAGAAGAGACACACACATATCCCAGTCAGCACCATCCCAACTCCTCACCCAGCCACCGACACACGCATTGCACTGTTTTCACCACCCACGAACAAGCGCACACAAAGCGCAGCACAGCCGTGCTGCATGTACACGCAGTCACTCACTGTGTGCCCCAGAACATACAGCAACTGCTTCCAGATGCAGAAACTGTCCCTGCTGATTTTCCTTTATTTGGAGTTTGCAGAGTTTTTTTCCATTCTCCTTTGCCTTCCTAGTAATTTTCCAGGAAGGAGATATTCTGGAGGAGAAAATAAGCTGCCTTACTTGCTGCTGTGTACCTCTTGCACTCTTAGGTGGCTGCTAAATCCTATACACAGGCATCATGCTCTACAGACTTGCAGACATCCAAGCTGTGAAGTGTCAGGAGTCTGCTGCCAGCAATTCTGCAAGAGAGAAGCCTCAGATCTGGACTTCGTTAAGTGCTTCAAGACCTTCTAAAGTCAAAAACATAGCACAGTACATCAGACTGTGCTTTTACTCCCCTTTCTTTTTCTTCAGGAAAATAAAATCTCCCCTAGTCTGCTGACAATCTACCTTTTTCCCTTTCCCTCTTTCCTGGGGCCAGAGTAAATTTTTTCTCATTACACCCTCTCCTGGCCCTGAGTAGAGGGTTCTTCTGTTCCTTTTCCTAGGTGTCCTCCTGCTCTCAAAGCATTAATGCCATTAGCCTGGAACCACATGACCATATTGCATTGTAGCCATGGCCAAGGCAATAAGCAAAGGGGAAGTCAAACCAGAGGCTCAGGCTGGATCTCAAGGGCTGCAGTCAGAGGTTCATAAGCCTGCTGTGTCTCTGGCTGCAGTCAGTGTCCTGCTCTAATCTCTTCTGACAGTGCCTGCTCCCGCCCACACCCAGGGAGGAGCTCTCACCAGCTCCTGCTGCATATCACTGATAAAAAAAGGGAGGGTATCAGCATTGCCTCCTCCTGTTAAAGGTAGCCACACTTAGCAGGAGCCCACTCTGTATGAGCTGGTACATGCTATAAATAGATGATTTCCAAGTACAAATGAGTTCAGGGACTCGTGTTGGATCTCACAGTGTTTTCTGGGACACAAAGACAGTCAAGAAGCAACTCACCACTCTATTCCAGCCCGCCACACACGCCTCCTGCTGCATTTCCCTCTTTACCCTGTCTGCCCACTTGTGTCTTCAGCCAAGCTGACACAGACTCATGGAGCAGCAGACAGGAGGTCCAGCAAGGAAACACCTGAAGGCTGGGCAGCAGCAGTCACTCCAAGAGCCAAAGAAACCCAGGACTGGCAGTGAGATGCAAACCCAAATCCTGGCACCAAGCCATATACTGCCATGGGCATCCTGTCTAGATGCTCTGGAAAGGTCCAACTCACACATCAGGGGTCATTCAGTAACTTCCAGCTATTGCTGCCAGTGTTCTGGAACCTAAAGTCAGCTCTGCCAGCTGAGGACATGTGATAAACCCTCGCCAAGGGCAATAGCCATTTTGCCATTTGCTTGGACATTTCCTTGCTCATCTGGGCTTGTGTCGAACAGTGGGCATGATCCTCACCTTTGAGGCATTATTTCCAGCAGAAACACCAGAACCTCACATCAGTGTAGTGGTTGACCTTTAAGTAACTGTCCAACCTAGGAATGTCTCTGGAGCCAATGCTCATTTGGACCTCTCTGCCTTGCAGATATCAAGTACACAGTTTTTCAGGTGATAACCTCAATCCTTTCTCATCAGATGAGAAGAATTTGTCAGTCTTCAAAATGCACTAAAAGAGCTGCTAAGATTAAGAGCAGGTAGGGATAACACCTAGGGTCCCCATAGGATTATCAGGGAAGATGAGGAGATTCACCTCAAAATGCTCAGAAACAGAAGCCATACTGTCTGTCTTACAGGAACTTACTCTCCTGTCTGTATTAACAGAAACTGGATGCTCTCAGTGGGCCCTGCAGCAGAAGCAAAATCTACTGGCAGGTTTCTGCCTTCTGAGTAGAAGGCAGCATTCAGCAGAATACAGCATCTCCAGAGAGGCCACAGTAGCAAAGCCTCAGGCAGTCAGCCAGCAGAGCACAGAGAACAGGCAGATACTGCAAACCCAGAAGAAAAAGAAAAAGCATTGGGAAAATTCATCTGACGAAAGGATAAATCCAAATGCTTGAACTTTATTCTTTCATCATCCTCACCCCTATCCACATGACTCAAGACAGAAAAATGCATATGCCTAAGTTCTATTCTCCCATCATCCTCACCTCTGCCCACATGATTTAGCACAGGTCTGCAGACCTTAATAGGACTGATGAGAGTTAAGGCACAAGAAGTCATCTCTGGAAGGCATTTGCAAGTGAGTTTGTTCTCATTTCATGCACCAGCCTGAGTAAACCCTTTGTCCATGCTCCTTTCTGCTTAGTGGAGATTTCACAACAGCCCCAAAGCACATACTACAGAGGCTGATATGCCCAGCAGGGATCCCCAGAGCAGGATGCAAGGGGGAGTTCAACCATCTTGCAGCAGGCGAATCAGAGCATGCAGGAAGTGAAAGATCTGTTCATGTTCCCATGCAAAGGACAGAGCTGGAGAAGAACTTGGCACAAAGTGGCAAAGGAGAAATCCCAAAGTAGAAGGAGGAGGGAAGGCAGACCCCTGGCATTTTTATGGGAAGGGAAGCAACCTGTCAATTAGCATTTTTCTGGTGCTGAAGAGAGGGCAAGCTTTCCCTCAGCATCAGACTGGCCTCTCCACCATGCACAATCCTCCACCATTACATAATCATGAGTAATGAGCTTTTGGAAAGCCCGTTTTTGTGCACCCTTAACAGGAGAGGTAGTTCTGGACTGTCACTGGTGGTACAGGTAAGGGTCAAGGTTAACTCAGTCCCTGCTGAGCATTTTCAGATACAGATGACATCTGTGTTGCCATTTGGCTCCTTCGTTCCCTGCTCATGGGTCCCCTTTGCGGCTGCTCCAGCTGGAGCAGGTTCAGAACTGTGAGGAGGGCAAGATATCACAAACAGCTTAATCTGCACAGAGCAAGGCAGCAAGAAGCTGCCCCTACACAGCAGACTGATCTTTCTGATAAGAATCCCCTGGAGGGCTACAGCCCACAGCTCTGTGAAGGCCTGCAGTGCCTATCTGCTGCCTAATGGGTTTTCTAAGTAACATGTTCTAGATCTTGTGCTGTCCTTTGCAAACTATCACTTTCCCTTTGAAGTACAGTGCTGGATCCAGCAGCAGTGGAGGGTGAAACAGGGGCTGGTCCAGAGACCTGAATGGGAAAAGGAGACCAGAACATCTTTCCTTTCACACAGAGCCAAAGCGACGAAAGAATTAACACAGCTACTGCTCCTGCCAGCTGAGGCCACACACACCCGGGGAAAGCTGTCACTCTCCTTTGATGTTAGCAGGAGCCTCTGCTCTCTGCATATCCTGAAAAAGAAAAGCTATTTTTACCTCATCAAAAAATATATAGACTGTGACTGAAGACAATAAATGAGAGCTCTTTGCTCAGGCACTACATCTAATAACATAACAACATCTACAGCTGCTGAGAGAGATGCAGCAGCACAGCAACTGCGTTCTACCTCCTACTTTCCTGATGCCCCACTTTTTTTGGACCATGACATGGTTCAGACAGGTCTGTGCAATAAACACTGGGGAGCTGAGAGGGCTCTAGCATGCTGGCAGTGCAAGGAGGGAGACAGAGACATGCTCTAAGCCTGCCTGATGTTAGCCTGGGACTAAGACACAGCATTGAACTCAACCTGCCCTGGGCTCTGTCAGTGCCCTCATGCTCAGGTGAGGTGCTGGAGTCCAGATCATACAATCAGGGTATGCCCTGTTGCCCTGTGGAGTAGGTTCTTTTTCTTTCCTAGTGACGCTTACAAACTGCTCCTGATTTCTGCAGTCTGTTCTGACTCATTCCCTACCTCTCCTCCAGCAGGACTAGTCCACACCTGCTCTGCCTGCCTACATGAACAAAAGCACTTAGAAGGGGGCTTTTCTGTTGGCATCTGCATGCTGGATGGTATCACAGTACAGTCCTTGTGCTGTGGCTACCATAAATTTACTGTTTTCAGCCTTAAGTCATGCTTGCCTGGCCAGCACTTCGGGTGCAGCCTCTGGAAGCCATGCAGGGAAGAAAGCATTGACAGAAAAGCACCAGAAGCACAGGCCCGGTGATATATCTCTGCCAGCAGGTCCCTGGTGAGGAATGCAAGCAAAGCCATTGCAGCACAGCCACCTGCTCCACAGCAGAGCCAGCGCAGCGCTGTGCTGAGAGAGAAACATCATCCTGTGCACCTGTCCCAGAGCTCCACAGGGGCAAAGAGTGAAAGTCACAAGAAAGGTGACAGAATAGGAATCAACGTTTGCCATCACAATACTGCAAAAAAACAACACCTGGGGCACCTCCCTTCTCCCACTAAAGTAGTTGTGAGAAGGACAAGGCAAATACAGCACTGAGGTTTCAATGCCAGGCACTGTCACTGGCTCCTGATGATGGATGAGGACGACCTTAGGCAAGTTACCAATGACCTAAGAAGGGCAGCAAACCCTTCCTACCAGACTGAAGTCATTTAGCAGCAGCTGTTTGGGGAGAAGAGGCGTTACCTTTGGACTGAAGTTCATACTACCAGCCAGAATAAATTCCCTCATGCAAACCAGCTTGCCTGATTCCTCTCCTCTTTTGCTGCCCAATGAACCCCTGACCATTCCCAAGTACTCACCCTCAGGCAATGTAGGCATGTCATCACTGCAAGAGAAGGTCAGCTCACCCTGGACAGACAGGGTCTGCAGCTCTGATCAACCTGCTTATGCTGAATGCTGAAGCATGAGCAGGCTGGAAGAGGTTTATCAGCAGTAGGACTGCACCCTATCACCACTCACACCTGACTACAAGCCAGCACAACAAGGAAGCTCCTGTCTGGAGTCTGGAGATTACGGGTTATCCCACGTCAGGAACTTGGGGAGAGCTGCCAGGCTGGGCACAGTGTTTAGTGAATGTTATGCCTGAGCCACACTTCATAAACACATCTGTGAGCTGTTAAAAGGGAGGAGCTCATGTGCATGAACCCTGCTCTTCAAATCGTACAAAGGAAGATGAAACTTCAGCAATTCAAAGCAAAATGAAACAGCTCTGTGGCCAGAACCACACTGTCTCTTGGTCTGTGCCACACAAAGCAGGCTGGGCTGGAGACAGTGAGCAGAAGACCTCAGGTTTTTCACAGGTTCCTGCAGACCTTGGCTGGGCACAATCCCAAATGGAGGACACCGAGATGGAACTGAAGTGGCAAATGAGGTCTAGTGACAGCAGCTCCAGGCTCTTTGTAGGGCCTAGAGCCCCCTACAATACAATGAACGCGCCCCTTCCCCCCTTCTACCTGCACAGCAGACTCCTGCTCCAGCATCCCTTCAGGAGATCCTTGCTTGCAGCAAGAAGGCAAGGGGTCCACAGTGGTTGGTGCATGCCCTCTCTGAAAGACACGCAAGGGAGTCACACCAATTGTCCAAAGGAACAGACCTCCTGGAGACCGCTCCCGTCCCCCCCTTTCCTTGTGCTCCAGCTGAGGGG